ATAATTTGCTATGGGCCAGGCTCCTAGGCAAGTTTGCTGCTCTGGCAATACAAGTGACAGCTTCTTGCAATCAGATGTGACAAATAATGAGATAAATACTAAAGCTGTGCCAACTAACTCTGTGCTCCTAAGAGCCTTAGGAGCCTTTAGCCCAGCCAATAAGGCAAATTCTCCACTCTTTGTGCACCCAGAGGTCTCATGTGAAATGCAGAGCTTTGAATGTGAAAGCAGCTCAGTACTAGATTTTAGGTATTGTTTTGAAAATCTCAAGTATGTGTATTTTTCTTTTTCTTTCAATCGTGACCTAAATGCAAGTCACATGTCCCGTCGCCCTCCTCATCCCTCCAAGACAGATGACAGATCTAGCTGAGCCTGGATATTCTGCGAAAAATCAGCTTTCCTGGTTTATCTTAGTCACCAAAAGTTGAACATAGGACTTACAGTCATTGTAATTTTTAAGCATAGAGTTTCTTCAGTAGTGGAGGAAATAACTTCTTCATACTTCTTGAGCTGTATTGCCAATTTCAGAAAGTGTTGCTGATAAGAAATATTTATATAACAGGTAATTTAAAGATTATTTTTATAACAATACTGACATTAACAGTAACACTTAGACTGAGGGCTAATGGAAACTTTTGCAGTTCTGTGAAAAAGACAACTTTCTGAGGAAAAAAAAAGTTGCAAAATCCATGTTTATTTTTGTTATCAGGTTCAAAAGGACATCAATAAGAATATTAGTGCCTGAAGTCCTTTTGTCCCCTTCAAAGAATATGGATTGAATGTTGAAAGTTTTGTAATAACAGTCCTTTTGCCTGTGACAGTTTTGGTGCAGTCATCTGGAAAACACTGGTAGAGGCATGTGAAAGAAATGGGAGTAGTTTTGTATAAAACAGTACATTTTAGTCTTGTAGAAGCAAATAAGCAATAATCGTCTTTGGGAAGCTGGCCAGCTCAGAGACATGGATTACATAAAAATCAAAGTTCAATGACAGTCTTTATAAAATTATATCAAGTTTGTAAGTTAAATACACAACAGCAGAAATGCAAAACAGAAGCTAAAATTCTACTTATCCCCCATGGAATTTACTATGGATCCTTTCCCTCACACATGCCTAAATACTGAAGAACTTTTAATAAATTTTGCTTTTGCATGAAAATATTTTGCTTTCATGGACTTGATTTGTTAAGTGACATAATGTGGGGTTGGGTTTTTTTAGCTTGCTTGGTTGGTTATGGTTTTGTTTTTAAATTAAGAAATCCCCATTCTCTATCTGGTTTTGTTTCTCACATTTTCAAAGCCCAAGATGCTTTCAGAAACAGAATTTAGATCTGGAAAAATATGGATGAAATACAGGCTGTCCTGAACTGTAAGACCTTCTCAGGGAGGAACCAAATGATAAATCAGTAATAATTGAAACTAGAATCACATTTTCATCCCAGAGGATCTCTAACTCATTTTCACCTGGATTGAGTTGGACTTTGATTTCAGCATTTTCCAGAAGTCTTTTAAAAGTGGCTTCTGCCTGCAGAGACAGATATTTTAGCATTTTTACAAGTTCTCATCATTAGTCTCCCAGCACACTGCACACTCATTCCCAGAGGACAAAAATAAACAGAAGGTCATGAATTCCCAGCACCTTAGTAGGCAGAGGGGTAATCCACCATGGGCGTATTTTTTTCAAGCAATAATTTAATTATTTAGAATTCTGTACAAGAGTTTTAGTAGACTTCAAATAAAGCTGTGATATGTTTAATATTCTAAGACTGGATATTAACTGGAATAATAATTGTATTTACTTATGCACCTTAGTAAGTGGCAATTCCTTATAAGGCCACCACCTGTCAGGAAAACAGAAAAGTTTATTTTGAATTGAACTTAACTCTGCACACTACTGCATATTTTAGAAAACTGTGACTGCCTTATCTTGTGAACTAGGGCAATCAGAGCATTCAGTACACAGAAGATGATATTTATACTACTTTTCTGCTAATCTGTTTTCAACACACATGTATCTTCAAACATGCATGGCTTACACTAAAGGATACAGTTGTGGGGGGAAAACCTTTTTAAAATAAAATAAAGGCTTCAGATAAGGGGTTTTTTTTTTGCAATTGCATCATGTTTCACAGTTTGTTCTTTGCTAGATCTATGCCTAGAAATATACATGTTTTTCAAGAATGTCTACAGCTACAAGGGTAATTGCTACACACATCTCTTGACATTACTTCAGAATTTGTTGTTGAGTGTGAATTTCAGGAGCATCATGTTTTGCAGAAAAGAAAAAAAAAATCCTTGGAGGGAAAATTCATCAGTTCAGGAATCTGCTATACTGGCATTTGTAAGCAAAGCTTCAGTTAATAGCATGCAGTTGGGAGAGTTAGCAATCCCTTCTTTGCCCTCTTAGCTATCAGTATGAGCTGTGATGAGTTTAGTTAATGAAGTATGTTCCACAGATACTCATTAGAAACATTCGTTCAGGAAACAGTAGGATGTTAGCTAAAATAAGAATTTAAGGTACTTCTTGTTCTGATTAAGCTCATTTGTACCCCCTACACCTCTAATGTATGATTTCTAGTAGGACTATATTAAAAATGAATACCAGTGTTCACTGCTGCAGTGTGAATTCCTTTGCCAAATCCTTATCCCTTCACATTAAACATGCTATGGACAGAGTGGAAAAATGGTTAGCATTGCTCTTCAATATCACAAGAAATAGGCATCACCAGACAGAACCCATTAGGTGTTTAAATCTCATGATAGTTCAGTGTTAATGCCTATAACTAGTGTGTTACAGAATACACATAATTAAATATTTTAGCTTGCTTGGCCTCCACAGTTTTCTCCCCGTTAGGGAAAAGGACAATGTTGTTTCAGCTTGGAAACAGATTGCTATCACCACCCAGAGGCTGGCTCTATGCAATTGTTATGGGCCCCTTCTTAACTAGACAGGCAGCAAAGTATTGTTGATCCAAAGAAGGTAGCTTGTGAGGCAATTAGTAGGAAGGCTTACTCCTTGGGAATGGACATAATTTTATCTCTAACAATTTGATTTGGGGGAGTGGGCTTCACAAATTGGGCTGAGGCAACTGATACCTCTTATTAAGTCTGGCAGTTGCATGCCTCAGGTAGACAGTCATTGCATTGCATTCAGCCACATACTTGGATTGTGAACACCAGTCTAAGGCTGTATGTGATCATTTCTGAGCAGGCACACACTAAAAGAATTAATTGTGATTCCATAACAATTTTCAGTTAGATTTGCTCTTTTAAGTCAAAATTAGCCTAGCCGTCATAAAGGTAGAAAATAAAAATACAGTTCTAGGACTATTTTTTAAATGCTGAGATCACCTATGTGTGACCTGACTGGGAATTTGGGTTCTCAGGGATGTTTGTACAGTGCATTCAATACTACTGAGCATCTGGCAGTGACATCTGATTTCAGGGTCATCATGGTGTCAGTGTTCACAGTCTCTGCAAGCTTCTCTTTATTTTTCTTTATTTATTTTAAAACTTTGACTGGCGGACTCTTTTGACAGCAAAAGCAGTGTTATTAAAAGTAATCATAAAATTATTACATTTGAGAACAAGTTTGGTTTTTACTGTTTTTTCTCTTTCTTTTTTTTCTTTTTTTAAGAAAAGTATTTTTTGTTTTCTTGCTTTGTTGGCATGCTGTAGCCTTTAGCTTGCAGTGGGGAACTTTTCATATTATGTCCACTTAGTCCTTCAGATATTTTAGGTTTTGAGGGTGTTAACTTCTTTTTTAGAAGTAAGTATCTGATTCTTAACTTGAACATTTTTGGAAATTCCATTATGCTACTCAGGGCTGCATGTTATTGAGACACTGATGGGGAGGAGAGTGAGATGAACGGCAGTGCAGCAGGGGACAGGTAGTTCATACGGCACTGAGCAATGCAAGGGGAAACCCTTTGTGAGCTAATTATATAGTTCTTGGAAACAGAAGCAGTAACCAGCCTTTATACTGAGAGACTACTAAGGATTTTGAAGATGACCTAAAACTTGCGATAGGCCAAATCTGCCACACCTCAGGTATTCTGCGCCAGGGTACAAACTGATTACATGTAATAAACCTACTGTAGTGGGGAAACAGCCTAGTTCTTCTCATCCTTTTATTCCTTTACCTGTAATGTGATACATTGTTATGTTCCTATTGCACTAATTCAACAACAAACAGGAAACAGATGCCTAAGTTAATCATGAATATAAACCATATCAGAGTTCCTCTTGCTATATGACATTTTTATAATGTGATTGCAGGAAGAATTTCCTGAGAGACCCGTAATTGATAGACCTATTAAAGCACTAAAATAATTTCATAAGGGACAAAATAACATTTGAAGATGGTGTATGTCTTAGCTGACTTGTGCTTTGTAAGATTCTGAAACATTACCACCAAAACTCAGGAAGGGTTTTTGAACATACGCCAAAATGAGCAAAACAAAAGATCCACTACAGCTGATAGAGGTCTTCTAGAAAACAGAATAAACTCTTCTTCCCCCCCGCCCTCCCCCTTTGGCACAAACAGTATGCCTCATTTTATCACTAGGAAGTTTCTCAAAGCAAGAATGTCTTTCAAAATAAATACTTGAGGCGTACTCTGGCTACGTGTCACGCACACCTGTAAGTCACAGATACTCTCAGGTGTCGTCGATCTGTCTTTTTTCGGCTTCTCTCCCGCCCTCCGTCGCAGCTAAGCGCTGTCGGGTCCGGACGTCCCGACATGGCGCCCGTCCGTCCGCCCCAGCCCGTCCGCGGCTCCTGCCGGGCCGGGACTGCCGCCCCGCTCCACTCGCATCCCAGGGGCAGCGCCGGGGCGCGGGCGGGGCAGAGCGGTGCGGTGTGGCCCGGCCCGCCGCGGGGGCAGTCCCGCCCTGCCCCGCCAGCCCCGGAGGGCCGCCGTCACTCCGTCCTGTGCCGTCCGAGGGGATTTTGGAGCCTTAGCGAAGGCAGTACGGCTCCTCCTCCTTGAAGGGCGCGTGAAATGGGTTTCCTGGGCAGGCTGGCGGTGCTGCCAAAATTTGGGGCGGCGGCCCGGGCCGGTGGTGCCTGGCGGCGGCGGGACCGACCCTGCGCGGGGGTCCCGCTCCCGGGCCGCGCCGCCGCTGCCCTCCGCCCGTCACCCGGCGGCCGCGCCGCCTCCTCAAGGGCCTTGGGCGACTACGAGGAAGTTTTCCGGTCTTCCCTGGCGGAGCCCGAGAAAGTCTGGGGAGCAGCCGCTGAACAGATCCAGTGGTACAAACCCTGGGTCCGGACTCTGGAGAGAGGCAGCGCGGGGAGCGCCTCCTGGTGAGTAGCCGATTGTTCCTGGGGCGGTGCGGGGCCCGGGGCCGGGGCGGCGAAGCTCGGCTGTAACGGGGAGGGAGGGAAGGCTGCCTGCCGAGGGTCTGCGGGCGTGCTGGGCTGGGAGTTCTGTGGTAACGGCAGAACTACCCCAGCACCTTCTGGGATAGGCGGTGTGTCATCGCTGGTGGGGGAGACGGCTGCAGAGTTTGAAGGAGTTTAATGATTACACTTGGTCAAGCTTAATGATTAAAAGCCGCATGAATGGATATGTTGGGGTGAGGGGTGCGTGCACTGTGGCAGGCGTGACACGTGTGTGTGGGTCCATGTGTGGCTGAATGAATTGGAGGAGTGTACCTGATGCTCCCCCATCCAACCTCTGAGCATGAGAAACCCAGCATCAGGTGGCAGGGGAGGCAGGTGTATGAAAATACAGGCACTATGGCTTTTAGGGTTCTTTAATCTTAGATACTAAGTCATATGCCATAATTTAGATGTTGTGGTTAAGGTAACGTTTGTCAAAAGCATGGGTATTGCAATATATATCTCCATGCAGTGAATGGCAAACTGTCCTAAGCAGAATACAATATCCATCTTGTAAATTACTGGATATGATTTTCAATACTTTCTCAAAAGTAATTTACTGTTAAAATTTTGTGTTCACCACCATTGCTTCTTTTTCAGCACGCTTACATCATGGTTTTTGATCTTTTCTCAAAAAAAAGCTGATATTTGATATAAAAGGCAATGTAGGGTGAGAATCATCTTTAGTACACTGGTGTTCTTTGCCCTTTTTATATTTTTCTGGTTTGTTTTTAATTTAAAAATACTAATAATTCTAAAAATATAATTAAAAAATTCATTTTCAAATTTGTGCAAATTAAAAGGTACAGAATCAGTAGAATGGAGCTTGGTTTCTTATTGGTGTCTGTCTGACGTCATTGGTTGGCACCTCAAGTAGTGAAAATTGTTTATATGTCTTAAGCTGAATTTTAGGCAACACCGAGCCAGAATGGGCTGTGTAACAGTCAGAAGTCCTAAAATGAATAGATGGGGTTCACTGACTTTGGTTTCTAGGTCGTGGCACTATTCAGACAGTGCAGGTTAGATTGCCTGCATAATTAGGGTCTAGAGAAGGGTCTAGAGAACCTAGAGACCCTAGAGAACAAGTCGTGTGATGAGTGGCTGGAGTCGTTTAGTCTGGAGAAAAGGAGGCCTAGGGGAGACCTTAACTACTCCCTAAAACTGCCTTTAAAGGAGGTTGCAGCCAGGTGGGTTGGCATCTTCTCCCGAGTAATAAGTGATAGGACAAGAAGGAGTAGCCTCAAGTTGTGCCACGGGAGATTAAGATACTAGAATTAGAAATATTGGATATTAGGAATATTGGCTACTATGAAAAAATTCTTCACTGAAGAAGTTGTCCAGCATTGGAACAGGTTGCACAGGAAGTGAAGGAATTGCCAAATCTGGAGGTATTTAAAAGATATGTATACGTGGCACTTAGGGACATGGTGTGGTGGTAGACCTGGCAGTGATGGGTTAATGGTTGGACTTAATGATCTTAAAGGTCTTTTCCAGCCTAAATGATTCTGTGAATCACTGATTCTGGCATTCCTGAATAGAATAACAAAATCAATAGAATGGTTACTCTTGAAGAACTAAGGAATGAGAATATAATACATGCAAATGAGCATGATTTTGCTGTCAAATTCTGTCAAACAATTGTGGTTTCATTTGCTGTAAATAACATGCTTAGGTCTTTGTAAAACATTGTGACTTCTCAGATGGAAGTTACTTGGCCTTATGAGAGGGGAAAAATGGATGTTTCATGGTCTGAAGTCCAACTTATCTTCCAAGGTCTTTTCTATCCTCACTTTTTAACTTGTATCTTTCTCCCTCTGTGGATGCAAATTGCCATAGACTGAAATTATCTCGTTAATGTGGGCAAATACCTGAAGGGAGGGTGCATGGAAGATGGAGCCAGACTCTTTTCAGTGGTGCCCAGTGACCAGACCAGAGGCAATGGGCACAGACTGAAGCACACGTTGTTCCCTCTAAACACCAGGAAACACTTTTTTTAATGTGAGAGTGACTGAGCAGTGGCACAGAGTTGATTGTGGGATCTTCCTCCTTGGAGATATTAAAATACCATCTGGACATGGTCCTTCCTGGTCTACTGACTCCAGGTGGACCTTGTAGAAGCCTAGAAGATTAAGGGGCCAATGTGTATGTCTCAAACACCAGTAGCCAGATAGCTGTGGAGCCATACAAGGACAACCCTGTCATTTTTTCCACCATAGCTCCAGTGGATGGTAGACAAGCATTTCAGACTGCTTGTGAACTGAATGTAGTTTCTTTAATCTGTTAGAGTTGTTACTGTGTACTCTTTTTATTTGTTTTACTCTTCCTCTGCTCCACTTGTTTTATGTTATTAAATTGTCAGCCTTAGGAGCACAGTGTACAATAAGGTTCTCACACTTGGATTCAGTTGTTACACTGCATTGAGATAATTGTCTGGTTAGCAATAGATTAGCATTTTACAGTCGTTCTTATTATGTCAAGATTTAATGGCAGTTGTTACAAACATCCTGCAGATCCACTTCTGGTCTTTCTACAGTCTATTGGAATATTTCCTTTCTATTCTAGACCTCTGTTTTAAATAGGAGCATCTCATTGGCATCCTTATAACAATGGTCCTGGTTTTATGCTGCTGTTTCTTTTCAACTAAAGCTTATTCAAGCAAACCAAAGTTCCTCACAGGTGTTCATCTGTGTGAGGCTGACCAGAAGAGAAGTTTGCAGAAGCACAGGGCAGCTCTTTAAAGCCAAGTAGCTTTTGTCAGCCAGAAAGAGGTATGTGAGGATGTCCTTGGGTGACAGTAAGGAAGCCAAGTTCTTGCAATTGTGGTAGGTGCATCTCTGCTTTTCTGATCCCATCAGAACCTCTGTCCTTCGGAACAGGGTAGCAAAGTTCTCATCACACTTTCCAGACAGTCTTGTTCTTGATTCATCTTGCAGTCACATCTCTTTCACACACTTCTTTTAAGTGGTTGCTAAAAATTCATGTGGCGATGTTGATGTTGCTGCATATCTTTAGAAGAATCAAAGCTCTGGTGTCTGCTCATGGTTTGACCATTCTTAAATGATTATGCATAGTAGCCCAGGTATTGTGCTCCCTTGTTCCCTTGTTCATATCATCCTACCATGATTTGATATTGTCTCAATTTAAGGAGACTGAAGTGTTTTGCTAAGGACGATGAGTTATGAGGTAGACCAAACTCCTCTCTCTCAGCAATTCTAAATCCAAAATTAAGAGGCTCCAATCGAGGAACTACAGAAAAAGGAAGAAATAACAACCCCTTATTAAAGGATATATGTATATTGGCAAGGACAGCAGAAGAACACAAAAACAGCTACACAATAATCCTGTACCCAAAAGTCCCCTTCAAAAAGGAAACAGTTTGATACTTCTCTGTCTCTAGCGCGATTACAATCATGGTTGGCAGGAGCGCTGTTGGATCACTGGAGGAGCAGAGCCTGCAGTTGCTTGGTGTTGGTCGGCAGGGGGCGCTGTTGGGCTCTGGTGGTCGCCACGTGAGGCCCTGGTTCACGGGAGAAGCTGAAATGGAGATGTCCCCCCCATCACCACCGAGGAGGGGAAGGGGGAAAGGAGAAAGAAGGGCAGTTTCTTTCCCATGAAACTCACGCTGTCTGCGGCTGGCTGCGGTCGGGACTCCCCCCTTTCCTCGACGAGCACAGACTCTCCGATGAAAACCGAGCAGGTCTAGCTGGTGACAGAGCAGACTGCAGGCAAGCCGAGGCCGGAGAACAGACAGATGACCGGGTTGAGAGCAAAAACAGCCTCAGAGCTTTTTTCAACACACACCGTGCCCCCCTTAAGGCAAAAAGAGAAGTGCCTCTTCCCAAAGAGAGGAGAGGAGAAAAACTCTTCCCCCACACCCCCCAGCCTTAGAGAAAGCTATCAGCCTGGAATGCAGGTCTGCCAGCATTCTTTTGTATAGTCAATTACCCCTTCCCCCTCCTTGTTCAGCATCTTCTTTTACAGCAGGACAGGGGAAAGGAAAATTTCTGCTTGGATTTTTGGAACAAGTAAACCTATGAGAGATATATCATCAATAATCAATGGATGACCTGAATTGTACACAACTTTTATTACAGTAGTACAGAGTTTCTCTATATTACATGAAAAAACTCCAGATCATTTATTGCTCGTGTGGTTTTCCTTTTATGGGAAGAGGTTTAAAGTACAGAATGGTTTTGTGACTTCCATAGCCCCCACTTTCTCCTTACTAATAGCATTGTAAAGGAGTTGCAGTAAGATTGCTGCATCCTGAACATCCTAACTGGTTTTGGTTTCATAATTGCCATTCTTTGACAATAAAGACCTCTCATGGCATCTCTACATAAGGATATAAGAATAATATGTAAAATATCCTAATTTAGAGCAGTCCTTTACTAAACAGGAAAGATGAAGAAGGAAATATTTATTTTTAACTAGTAGTGGGTTACTTTAGGCCATCTGTTACTTCCAGTTGCATTATAACAATACATTATCACCGGACAGTGTTCCCATACAACCTTTTGGAAACTCTCAACAATGTATTTTCTGTATGTTGCTATTTATGCTGCAGAGAGATACCTACAGATAGAAAACCAAACACTATGGACATCATCTAGTGAACTTTTAATTTTTAGATTCTTTGTCACCTTTCAGTTAGTAGAGTCATCTTTGTATCCAGTGCAGTCTGTATTTTTGTATTTGAGGATTATGCTGCACTTGAATTTTCTTTTTCTATGTAAAATGACAATGAAAATGAAATCTGAATTTGTAGAATGTTTTTCTTTAATTGGAAGATGAGAATTTTCTGTACATGTCTGGCTATTGAAGAGGCTATGACTCACATTGCTTTACAGAGAATTTAGAGTCAATTATGTAAAACACAGTGTTGTCAAATGCATTATAATTATATGATCTTATAACTGTTGGGGTCGGTTTCATTTAGCTACAGGTGCTTGTATGCTTAACTGTTATTGCCAAGAGATGAATAAGACTATTTTGAGTCCTGAACCTGTTTTCCTTAAAAAGGACATGTGTGTGTGCCAATGCAAAGTAGCATAATAATGTTTTCATAATGTTGGATTATTTTATGTGAATTTATGCTTTTTCTGTGATCCCATAGATATAAAAATCAGAGTGATTGATGCAAAGTACATTAAACCAAGACCAAGTTTAGCAGATTCTTAGTTAAGTCAATTAAGGTACAGTACTTTAAGTTCTGTGTTTTCACTAGTAGTCTTATTTGGCTTTTTGAGTAAATCTTGAGGTTATAGAATAAAAAATTACTTCCTGAAGTGAGTGTAATGTTTTAAGAGCTATATTTTAATTGATGCTCTCATTCCTTAAAAGGAAAGCATAAAATTAAAAAAAAATTAGTTGTCTTAATTTGGAAGGCTGGCTGTTACATACTTCCAACTTCTTTTTTAGGTTTGTAGGTGGAGAGCTGAATATCTGTTACAATGCTGTAGATCGTCATGTTGAGAATGGACGAGGAGACCAAGTTGCCATTATTTATGACAGTCCTGTAACAAATACCAAAGAGAAAATAACATATAAGGAACTTTTTGAGCAGGTATGTGTCCTAATAACCTTGTTATGGAAAAGGGGCAGTAAATATTGCACAGCAGGTAGGTATCAGAGAGGTAAAAATGGTTTACCTCACTGGTTTATTCCTTCTGCTGTTCTCAGTATTGATTTATAAGCTTTACTACCTGTACCAAATTTTACTGCATCCAAGAGGTTTTGATCTTCCTCTATTTCCTCTTTTTCTTCTACAGTTTAATAGTTTTTTTTTCCCTGATTGGTTAAATTTTCAACTCTTTGATTTAATTTTTTTCCCCTAATAGTTCTTATTTGAAAGGTAAAGCAAAGGAGTAGTCAAGTTATTTGACAGTTGCTATGATGAACAAAAACACACTTTTGCAGAAATCAAATGTGTACCTTGGCTATTGCTGCACATAAGTGAGTGTAACCACAAATGAAATTTGATGGGGAGAAACTCTGAAAAAAGCTGTGTCACCTGCCCTGTTGTAGGCTGTCATGGCGGTGCTGATGGTTGCTGGTGGCCCTTCTGCCTGGAATGTCTGTGGATTTCAACTTCCCTGTTGGCTGAGGTAGCTCACCCCTGCTGAGGTCATGAATACCTCGTTCTACATCAGCCCATTCAGATTTACTGTGTGCCTGACCACAGGTTGTTGCCACCTTGGGTGTTGCAGTCTGACCCATTCAAGGTTCTCCGCTCTCACAGCTGTCAGCTGGTGGTTTGTCCTCCTGCTGCTCCTCTGTTTTAGCTGAGTTTTTTCTTCCAGTTACATGTAACAGTTGAACTGAGTACAAAGAAATGTTCTAGTCAGACTCATATTCATCCTTAATATGTTTCAATGTGCAAGAAGCATTTACGGTGAACGGAACGCACTCAGTTTACTTCAGATATACATATAGTGTCTGAGTAATATGAACTTATGGTTTAAAATGTGAAATGAGGTTCATAATACAGTAATTCATGTTGTGAGGGTTTTATTCCACTGTTGTAAGAAAAAGGAAGTCATACAGCTACAAAAAAAATGATAAACCTGTTATGCATTCTACCTTTTAAGGAAAATGTAGAAAACATTTACCCTTTACCAGTTTTCTTTTGATTTACCCAGTCCAAAAAAATAACTTGGAAGGCACCATGCAGTAAGCTGGAGCTTGAACAACTAGCTACAGTGTTGTAAGAAATCAGGAGACTATAAAGGGTCCCAGCTCCTTATCTAATTCTATTTATAGCTATATATAATAAGTATAATTTTATAGATACAATTTTTGTATAAGTTGCCTTTAATAACTACAATATATACATAGTATATATCCAAATATATATGTATATATGAAATCAATGTATACATACATATACATATAAAATACATACTTGTTTTTAATGAAGTAATACAACATTTTAATATAAATTATCTTAAATGAACTCTGTAGAAATTTCCTCTGAAAAGAACTTGAAAAGTGGCCTTTGTTCTGCTTTTTAAGCTTGATATTGTATTAAGTCTCCTAAGTTTCTGTCTCTATATTCTCTATAAGTGTATTAAAAGTTTTAGGATTTGGCAGATTTGCGCAGAATGAGAAAATTTTACGTGTTGACACACACATCCTTTCATCCACATTTCTGTTCACAGCAGCATTGCCAAACCAAATGTAAGGACTGGTTTAAGTTTTCTGGGGTTACGTAGCAGTACTCACTCAGAAGTTCATTATAATCTTACTGGTAGCTGAGTCCTTTCTAAATACTGTGTTTGAGTTCTCTACAGTTTGTTTTTCGTAATCAAAAGTGAATATGGGTGAAAGGCAATATTTGAGATTAGTAGCTTGTCTGTCGAAGCTTTCTGGTCCACTCTTGTGGAATAAATTTAATTATGTTTACCTGCTAACTGCTGGACACCTCATAACAAAGGTAACAAAGAGATCTGCTGAAAATGGGAGGGATGTAGGCTGGTATGTATTTTTTTTTTTGTTTTGTAACTGCTAGGGGAGACTTTGAGAAAAGGCCTACCAAAACCACTGTACAGCATGGGTATTGATGTTTGGCTCACAGCCCTCAGTCATTGCTTGTCACCATGTTCCCAGTCTGCTCAGTGTAACCTAAAAATACTGTATTTTATCATTCTGAAATAGACTTCATGCTGAAATAGATCAGTATGAGTGCAGATCAGATATATGACTAAAGCTGATGAACCTCCTGATGAGAAAGGAAACCTTTTACCTTTTTTCCTGAGTTCCTTCCCAATTTAAACCAGCCTGAAAGTGTGTATCTATATTCAGGCCGTTGTTTGGACTGTTCATATCCAATGAATGTTTAGTAGTCTGTCTGGCCAGTAAGCTGACAGTGTAATGAGAATGTCTTTTCAGAAAGGCTGCCTGCAAAATGTCTCTACAAGAGAGATCACTTGAGGTGTGGTGCAATTCTTTCTGGCTTTTGGTAATAAAAGTGGGGTTTATAGATGTTTTCAGCAGAAGTTATGTAGGATAACTGCGGGTCACAGAATGGGAAGATGCAGAGTTTTGTAGCAAGCTGGTTTATTTGGTTCAGGATCAAACTTGTGGTAAGGATGAAAAAAAATGACAGAGGTGTCTAGCTGGATTTAATAAAGCTCCTTAGAAATAGCTTGGGCTCTGTACTCAGCCTGTTATTTTCAGATTATCCATATCTTTTTACTTGTTGCACTGATTTTTAGATCTAAGAGCTACAGTGATGCTGCAATTTTCAAGTTAAGCACCACTAAACTTTAAATAATTGAGAGAAATGTTGAAAGTCTGTTTAATTCCCAACCTGTGGGAAACTTTTTTTTCCTGACAGACCTGGAATAGAGGGATTGCAGGAAAGTTTTATAAAATTCTTATTGATGTAAATAATGGCAAGATCAATTTGTGTTGATACTGCTTTCACACTTGTAAAGTTTTGAGAATTACAGTTAGTTAAAGTGAAGTTGTACATAGTGCATGCAGTTGCATCTTTGATGTGTTTATATGTTGTTACAGATGAAATCTTCCAAATGCAGAGGAGGAATTTGGCAAATTTAAGACACAATGGTCTTCCAGAATGCACTGATTGGTCTTTTTTCTTTACTGATGCCTGTTACAGGCCTTCAAATGTGGATTACAGTGTTGAAGCCAGTAAAATGGAGATATAGGTAAAAGTTTTGAATATGCCTTGGGATATTCTCTAATTTCAGTAGTGAGATGGCAGAAAAAGATAAGGGAGACACAAATTCCCAACTGTATGAACAAGGGCAAGTGCTAGATTCTGCACCTGGGACGAGGCAATCCTCGTTGTTGGACTGTATAGACTGGGAAATGAGACACTGGAAAGCAGTGCCGTGGAAAGGGACCTGGGGTCCTGGTCATTGGCAAGTTGAACATGAGTCAGCAGTGCCCTGGCAGCCAGGAGGGCCAACCAGGTCCTGGGGGGCATCAGGCAAAGCATCGCCAGCCGGTTGAGGGAGGGGATTGTCCCGCTTTGCTCTGCTCTGGTCTGCACTCACCTTGAACATCGTGTGCATTTTTGGGTACTGCAATATAGGAAAGATGTTAAGCTATTAGACAGTGTCTGAAGGAGGACTATGAAGATGATGAAGCACCTTGAGGGGAAGCTGTATGAGGAGCAGGTGAGGTCACTTGGTCTGTTCAACCTGGAGGAGTCTGAGGGGAGACCTCATTGCAGTCTACAACTTCCTTGGGAGGGGAAGAGAAGGGGCGGGGACCAATCTCTTCACTCTCGTTACCAGTAATAGTACCCAAGGAAATGAAGCTGAGTCAGGGGAGGTTAAGGTTGGATATCAGGAAAAAGTTTTTCACCCAGAAGGTGATTGGGCACTGGAAGAGGCTCCCCAGAGGAGTGGTCACAGCACCAAGCCTGACAGAGTTCGACAGGTGTTTGGACAACACTCTGAGGCACATGGTGTGATTCTTGGAGTGTCCTGCGCAGGGCTAGGAGTTGGACTTAATTATTTTGATGGGTCCCTTACAACTCAGAATATTCTGTAATTCTATGAAATTCTGTTAGAAATATTACCTAAGCTGTGTATTAAGGAAATATAAAGATACCAGAAGGAAGAAAGGGGCAATGGCTTCTGTTCATTTGAAAATAAATTTTCTGATTGCGTTGGAAGATACTACCATTTTCAAGTTAATGCAAAGGTTATAAGGTAGGTGAAAAAAGCCTTCTGTTTACATCATTAAATGTATTCTCTAAAATACCTCACTTGCTAAAACAAAAACTCAAGAATTTGAGTTGTATTATTTGCAGCCATTGATGCTTGACAAATCATGTACACAAACCCAGTATGATTTCTTCTTGTGATTCTTTTCAATAACAATGCACAGTTAACGTGTTGCATTCAGTGCCATAATAAATAATTTCTAAGTGCAGTAATGTGACAGGATTAGTAATACCAACCCTCCCCTGCCCAAGCCTCTGAGAGCATTGAATGTTACAGAAGCATGGATGAGAAAGAAGGGCTTCAGGTTATCAGCAATAGGCTAAGATGTAATTTCTTCTGCAGGAAGGTTTTTTTTCTAAAATTACCCACCCTAAAAGTATCTTCTTCCAAAATAACTATATTAGACTACGTCAGTTTGAATTTATGTGAATGTACATGTCTTTTGCTGCTCATATCTCATATCTGCTATATGACTGAGGATCATTTTGTTTTTTTGTAATCTTTCTTATTCTTTTTTTTTTTTTTTACTGCGTCTTCTTTCTTTCCCTTCTGCCTTGAAAAATGACTAATTCCTTCTTAGCTAGAAATAGAGATTTTCATTTCAGGGTAATTTTTCTCAGACTTGACTTAGAATCAAAACTAGAATACAGTAAAAAAATCCTACTGAGACTGACAACCCAAATTTTTATCTTCTTTTCTAGTAAAACAACAGTATCTTGATAAAACAGTGTATTAGACTCACTTAATGCTGGATATCCTTATCTTACTTAAATCTCAAATGGCATTCTTCAGTGAATGGCTTAGAATGATTTAACTGAGATGTCACTGGGGTAGCTATTCAAAAATATCAATATTAGTATTTTTT